GAGGTTTCCTAAGCCATGGTGGTACTCTCTGGTTATGACTAACAGTTCGCCATGGTTTTTCGATGGCCCTAATCGAAATAGATGGTTTACCGAACTTAAAGATGGGTGGATCTTTCCATGGCGAACTGTTAGTCATAACCAAATGGTACCCCCAAATCCTCCAAATTAAACCATTTTAGTATTGAAACCCACGGTGGCTTGGGGATCCCCCGTGCCATTTTCAGAGACCACAACTAACAATGTGGGGCCCCCGTTTACGATAGCTCAGTTGGTGCACATAACTTGATGAACTATGGTTTATGGTAGATATAACGATAATATTAATCGGGGTTATAAACCAACAAACATAATTATTTTTCCGCACATTGGAGGGCTCGAGATATAGATTTGTGCCGAAAATCCCGATCTAAAATGGATGATTCAGGGGTATCCCTATTATAAGAAATATCCATATCCTTTCCACCACTTGACCATCGATGCCTAGGTCGAGTCGGGCGAGATCGGCGCGTGCCACGCGTGCCATTCGGCAGATTCGGCAGCGGCGAGATCCCATGACGAGATCCGTGGACGTGAGGTGCAGGGTGGAGCTTTTGCTCATGTGGTTTTGAATGGGATTTGTGTGGGGGCTTTAGTAATTAGGTTTTAACCATTTTTCTGTGAGTTTTTTGTTGGTTTTAATCGTTTTTTTTGTGAGCTTTATATAGGTTTAAACCATTTTTCTGGGAGTTTTCGTAGGTTTTAACAATTTTTCTTGGAGTTTTAGTAGGTTTTAACCATTTTTCTGGAAGTTTTCGTAGGTTTAAACAATTTTTCTGGTAGTTTTAGTAGGTTTTAACAATTTGTCTGGCAGTTTTCGTAGGTTTTAACCATTTTTTCTTGAGTTTTAGTAGGTTTTAACAATTTTTGGAGAGTTTTCGTAGGTTTTAACAATTTTTCTGGTAGTTTTAGTAGGTTTTAACCATTTGTCTGGCAGTTTTAGTAGGTTTTAACAATTTTCTGAGAGTTTTCGTAGGTTTTAACCATTTTTCTGGGAGTTTTAGTAGGTTTGAACCGGACAAATTTTGTGGGATGCATGATTTTAAATGTTCACCCTCAAGAATGGCGATGTGACTAGGATGGCAATGGGTATGCAATGGGAAAGAGCTCGATGGCTCAGCCATTGGCATACCATGGGATACCATTTTTGGGAGTACAAAACCAGATCCAAATTGGGATATCATGGTATGTATATATGTTTGATTGTATGTATATATATATAATTATATATCTGGGTAAATTATAATCATTCACTAACCTGAAATGTTGGGCCATTTTGGGATGATTCCCCTGAAATAAACCATGATTCCAGGCTTCGGGAGAACGACGTGAGGTCGTTAAAAAACCCCATCTACAAAACCCCGCCATTTTTTCGCTAATTGTTGCTTTCTAAACCCTTCCAAATTTGCAATTTGTACATATATATATATATACATACATATATATATATACATACATATAAATAATATATATATATACTAATATATATGGTAGTAACACATATTAATGAACAGTTTATAACCAATGGTTTGTATAGCTGCAAGAAATCTACTTGCAAGTGGATATGTCTACACCAACCCGGCAGTTTCAAAACTGTTCCTGATGTTTTGTCTTTCGATGGCCTAAGAAGAATAGATTGCAAAGTATCTGGTTGGTGGTTTCAACCCCTCTGAAAAATATTACTCAATGGGAAGGATTATCCCATATATTCTGGAAATATATAAAATGTTCCAAACCACCAACCAGTATATGATACATAATATATGATATTAATGATATTAATGTGATATATAGTATGGATATAATGATATATAATGGCATGTAGGCAACAAGATTGACACGATTCTATCTATATAATAGATAGATAGATAGATGTTGTGAAACACGGTCAGCGATTGGGCTCTTTTTCCTTGAACATAGGGCTGCGGAGTATGAGTGAAAACTGGGGTGGCTCTGTACATGAAATTGCAACACCCCGCCTGGTGTCACAGTCATACTGTTGACACCCCCTTTGAGCCACTGTCAGCTCAAGCCCTAGCGCGTCTTCTTACGGTTGCAGTCTTTGCAAACCGTCCAGGCATCTATGCGCTTGCCTGCTTTCAAATGGCCACAGTCTCTTTCACTATGCAGGACTGTGCCACTCCCAGTCTTGTAGAAGACCAGGTCTTCAGGCTCATCGTTTTGATGACACCTGGTGGATCGGCGCCATGACCAGATCCATGCCAATGTCCATCCAACTCCAAAGGCGAACAGAAGCATCGCCAATAGGATGTAATCGGCATCATTTGATCTGTCCAAGTCTGGATCAGATTTGGCTCCTGCCACTTGGGACAACCAGGTCACCATGGTCAGGATTTGCCCCGCCTGGGCTGGCGTCAGCACAGATCCTTCCGCTGGAGTGGTTCTCACTTGGTGAACTTTCCCTGGTCCACCATTCAAGGGCTTCAGCCCACACATCTCGACCAACTCCTGGAATCTGGCTTTTCCCAAGACCTTTGTGCCAAGGTCGCTGTTGTTGTACTTGCCTGGTTGCCAGGTCATAGTCAGCAAACAATGCCATGACCCACAGACTCGGTGTCGGAAGAGTCCGGCATCTGGACGTGAAGGTGTTGTGGCTACAACAGATGGTCTACCAAGGTTTGCTGACTATGACCTGGCAACCAGGCAAGTACAACAACAGCGACCTTGGCACAAAGGTCTTGGGAAAAGCCAGATTCCAGGAGTTGGTCGAGATGTGTGTATCTATCTATAGTTAGTTAATCTAGATTATAGTATATTGTTGCAATTTCATGTACAGAGCCACCCCAGTTTTCACTCATACTCCGCAGCCCTATGTTCAAGGAAAAAGAGCCCAATCGCTGACCGTGTTTCACAACATGGTAGCGGAGCATGAGTGAAAACTGGGGTGGCTCTGTACATGAAATTGCAACAATATACTATAATCTAGATTAACTAACTATAGATAGATAGATATACTATAATCTAGATTAATTAACTATAGATAGATATACTATACTATACTATAATGTATTGTGTCTATCTATAGAACTATATAATTTTAATTAATATATCACAGCCTGCACACGTGGGCTTCGCCCACGGTTCCCACGACTCGACTCGAGCCAAAAATTCTCGGGGTCGCCCACGACTCGGAACGACTCGGCTTCTTCGCCAACGGGGATGCTATTGGAAAGCAATGTGAGGCCCCCCAGTGATGTTTGTTGGTTTAGATTCGCCCCAGTAACTAGTTCGTTATAAGTACCATAAACCGTAGTGAAATTGGAGCTATAAACCAACCTAGCTATCTTGGGGGCCTCACATTGTGGAAAGCAGATGGACATCCTATCCAAACGGCAATCTCGTGGGTAAAGTATGCAAAAAAAACCTCCGGTGGCTCCTAATTGGCTTAATTGGCTATGGTCTAGGCACATGGTGTAACATTGAGAATGACCAACACCGAGCAAAATATGTAGGCTGCAAGCTGTAGCATAGCAATTATTGACCCATAAGGCAGGGATTATAGTTACAATGTGAGGCCCCCAAGATAGCTAAGTTGGTTTATAGCTCCAATTTCACTACGGTTTATGGTACTTATAACGAACTAGTTACTGGGGCGAATCTAAACCAACAAACATCACTGGGGGGCCTCACATTGTATCATATATCTGTTCATCACTGGATAAATCACTTGTAAGGTTCAAGAAGTACAAAACACACATGGGCTTGTCTGACAGTAGGTTCCTCCATTCATTCCACTGCTTCATCATCATTCTCCCCATGTTCCCCAATAAAACGGCCATATATTGGTGGTAAAATAACCACAGAACACACCCAGGTCATGTACTGTTGGTTCTACACGATATACCTACGTATATACATTCATGTACAAACTGGTGCGCCTTCTATGTCGCGAAATTTGTTTATATGTAGCTTGATTAGGGTGGTGGAAAGAATATCCACACTTACGTTGGTTTGTAAACCAATTTGTAGCTGGGGTGCACCACTTTGTATACATATACATATACATATATATATAATATAATATAACTATATAATATAAATATATATATATATCCCATTATATACAAGTCTATCAAAGTCTGACTGCTTTTGTACCTTGTACCCCCATCCCCATGATTTCTCAGCTGCTCTCCTTCCGGACTGAGGTCGCTGACATGAAGTGAGCACAGAGTCCAATGTAATCTGCGCAGGTTGCCGGCGAAAGGTCAACCAATCTCTCAGTGCGGTCAGTGGTATGCAACCAACTAAAATCTTGGGAGTTCACTGAGTTCACCAACGAAAATGGGGATGGATTGATGGAATGGCTACCCGGCCTGGTTATGTCAAAATAGCGAACTGGAAGCCATGGCCCAGTCGAAATAGTGGATTTACCCATTGATAGCATGGTGGATCTTTCCATAGTTTTTTGTATTGTATGTTTACCAGAGGGTAAATAACCAATAACCACTTTCCAAGGTCACATGGTCAATAACCACTTGCGACATATGGTTGCCAAAGTCATAGATCCTGGAGCCTTGGCAAGAAAGGAGCCTTGGTAATACTGATAAACATGACAATTTGCTAGGTACATAGGGGGCCCTAAAATATATATATATATATATACACACACACATATTTTATATATACACATATGTATACATATCATATATGTATACATACATACATACATACATACATACATACATCCATCCATACATACATACATACATGCATGCATGCATGCATGCATGCATGCATGCATGCATGCATACATACATACATAGATACATACATACATTACATACAAACATATATATATATATAGAGAGAGAGAGCATGTATCTGTGTAAAGGTATGTGCATGTATATAATTATCTATAATGCATATATAAACATCTGAAATACATAAATATATATATATATATTGGCTATACCCAATAAAAAGAAAAAACTGGGCTACCCTGCCGCATCTGCAGAGTTCGGTTGCTCCAACAAGTTGAGCACGTGGGGCCATCTGCGCGAATGATGAGATTTTCGGATTTGATGGGATTTGTTTTTTGGGTTTTAGCCATCAAGTTGGCACATAAAATTATACCCTCTGGCCCTCTGGTGAACTAACATAGCTATGGAAAATCACCATTTCACCATGTTTAATGGGTAAATCAACTATAAATGGCCATTTTCAATAGCTATGTTAAATTACCAGAGGGTATGTGGTTAGTAAGTTGGCAACACACAAACTATTCATGGAATGTTCAACCAGCAAAAAACAGGGATCTTACCAATGAATAATTTGTATAGAACTGAACCAACACTTCGTTTCGGATTTTCCAATCAAAACCCTACGAAGATGATGACAAACAAAACGGTTTTGAGTGGTGCAATTTCCTTGACATCGTGCATTCGAGTGGCTAAATAGATCTAAATAGGACGTTTTTTCTGGCATGGATGTGGGTCAAAATGGAAAACCGTTTGGGGACTAATTATTAAATGTGAGTCTAGTTTAGTATTAACCATCCTTTATTATTGAGGTACCTAATTTTGACCCATACCCATATGGAGCTTTCCATTGATGTACCCGAGTACCCCGAGATCATCCATCCAGCGGTATCTCCATTGATGGGTTGACCCCCCAGCGTTGAAGCGTTGAAGCGTTGAACGTATATGGGAATATATAGGGACATATATGGAAACTATGGTGATTTATGGGACATATATGGAAATATATGATGTACAGTTAAGGCCATGGCTATTGGTTATAATTGGTTATTTCTATGGGATGAGAAACATTCTATAAATGGGGTGACTTCTTACTACTTATAACTGGTATTTCGGGCCATAACTTCAGGGGATGATATACAACAGTACCTTGCGTAGCAAGGTGTCATTAAATCACAAGTAAATTCCTAATTTTCCCCAGTAAAATCTTCCGAAGTAAAATCCATATGTTCCTGAGCACTGCCGTGCGCCTGGCAGGCACGGGCTCAGAGGCTGCCACCACCGCCTTGAGAGCCAGTTGACCTTGGGAGTCAAGTTCAGAAATAGTCAATAACTAATATACTCCATTACTTCAGTGGATTGGTTTAAGGGAAAATCTTAACCGGAAACCATAGATGTTTCCATTAAATATGTTTTGTTCCTGTAAATTTTTCGCTCAAACCAATCCATTGATTAATCCACTAGTATTAGTATCATCAGATATAGTCAGAAACAGTCAGAAATAGTCATTCAATATATTCCTTAAATCAAAAATAGTCATTGGTATACTAAATTATTCCACTAATATACTAGTATCATCCATATTATACAGTGTATATATATATATATAGTCAATGACTAGCATACTCCATTACACTCTGGTAATTTGACATAGCTATTGAAAATGGTTACTTATAGTTGATTTACCCATTAGTTTACCAGAGGGCCAGAGGGTAATCCACTCATATTAGTATCAAAATGTATCAACCATAGTACTAGTATACTCCATTTAATCAGACATAGTCAGAGATAGTCATTTAATCCACTAATATACTGGTATCATCCATATTAGTATATGTATATAAATATGTATAGTGATTCATGGATTCTACAGAGAAAAAATGATGAGAGATGAAAATTGATGATATTGTAGAGCCCGAAAATAAATCATCGATTAACATAGTCCAATAATCCATAGTAGATCCAATCCAACAATAAACAATCCAACAATGAAATGGTGATTTACTGACGTATATCCTTTTAGATCCAAAACTGACATCACCTTGATACCGTTTATAGATAATTTTCCATCAATAAAATGGTGACTTAGTGATTTCCTGTATATATATATATAATATCTATGTATGATTAGCATTGATAGGGGATGCTTAACTAGGTTTAATTATTTACTTGATCGCGTTATATCGATGATCATGCTTAGCTGATTGTTTCATGGAGAAAATCAATTTCCGGATTTCAATCCATGTCAATCCATATATTATAGTAAGAAAAAAATATATATATATATCATAGTCATTTTATGAACATTTCATCTTGACATATAGTAATTTGTTAACCTGAAAATAGCTGAAACTCGCGGCCATTTAATTTAATCATTTGGGGGTGATTCCCAAAATCCTAACAAATCATCATTCCAGTGACGTCACATTGAGGCCAGTATAATTTATCCAAATAAATTATCCATCAATCAAATGGTGATTAATTGGTTTGCCAAATATCATTGTAGATCTATATGTATTTTCAGGTTTCAGCTGGGGTTATGTTATAATCCCAAGTAGACTGCTAAACCTAAACAACAATGGGCAAAAACCGTTAAGCACCTGCGACTCACTCCTTTTTGCCTGAGCCGCAACAGCTACCAAGTACATGCTATATTACAGTGTGTTTTATGTGAGGTGATTTTACACCCCCCTCAGGTGAGCCGGTTACGGCGAGGATGCCACATTTACCAGGGCGAGGTCTTTAAGACCTGCCTCACCGAACCTGCTCTTTGCAAACCCAAGGGAAAACACACTCGGCGGCTATGATACAAAAACCGATCGTCAATGCAAGCAGTGTCACAACTTATCCCTCTTCCCACTCAACTCGGCCATGCCTGATGACTTTCTCATACCAGCGTCCATGCCACTTCTGCCATTCTCCAGTGTAACGGCGATCATCGTGGGACTGACTTTGCTGAGGGCGGTTGATCCACTGACTTGCAGACGTTGATGATGAAGCTACCTCTACGGTGGATGGTCGGGCAACCGGTTTGGCGGTGCCTTTCTTGGAGGGACCCTGGCCGTACGCACCAGTCTGCTCAGCTTTGCGCTTGGCCTCGTTCTGTTCGCGGGCCCTGTCAGACTGTTTCTTCTTCTCTGCTGCGTTCTGCTTGTACAGCTCCTCGTTTTGTCCCTTAATCCACCTCAAATGACGTTCGGCATCATGAACAGCAATGTTGTCAACACCAGTGCAAGACAACAAAAGATTGTGTCCAGGATTCCGGCCGAGGTAGTCAATGTACTCTTCTTCGGAGTAGATTTCGGTTCGGTACATGTAGAACCATGGCTGGTCGATGTACCTGAATGACTTCGGGACGTCAAGACGGCTTGCCAAATCCAAGTAAACCAGCCTCATCGCATTGTGCTCCAGCTGAGATTGCTCAGAAACACCCATCTTGACCTGAGCCTTGGTGCGACCTGGCTTTGGCAAATGTGCAGACTTGAGGAGGTCGTACCTTTCACAATCGTACTCGTTCTCCCCCTCGTTCAGCACGCTCTCTGCGAATGTGGCGTCCTGGGCAAACCTGTCAGCCACAGACACATAGCCCAAGCTCAAGGCACGGTCGAAACGACTCTTTGCCCTTGCCAATAAACCGGCTTCCGGGCTAGAGCTTCCTCTTGCCTGATCGTCCAGCAAACCCAAAGATTCAAGCTGGCCGTGTGTGATGCTCTGCAGGTACTCACCACGAAAGTCATAGTACAAGCCCAGCTTGTGAAGGGCGGCCTTCCTTCGTTCTGCAATCTTGGTTCGGTCGGCCTTATTCACCCCTTCGAGCATCAATCCACACACATCGCACTCAATCTGTCCCTTGAAAGTCTGTGCAAAACATCTTGAACATTGCGTGACTTCAATCTTGACCGGCACCGGCTTCTTGTCCTCCTTCTTCACCTCTTTCTTCGAAGGTTGGTCATCGCCTTTAGGGCGAGACTTCTGCTTTGGCACCAGTGACTTTGATGTTGATGCTGGCGTCTTTTTGGGTGACTCTGCAACTGGAGCTTTTGGGTCTTTTTGCACTGCCTTTGGTGGTGCAACTTTTGGAACAGGCTCCAAGAAGGCCGCAGCTGATGATGCCGCAGGCACAGCTGCGGGCACGCTTGTCAGGGCTGCCTTCTTCTTTGCAGGTTCATCCTTTGCTGCTGCATCAACTTCTGAGGTCACAGCTTTTGGAACTTCTGGTGCATGAGGTGCAGAAGTCCCTTCCTTCGGTGATGGTTTTGGAGGTACCTTTGGCGGTGTCTTTGGTCTCTCAACCTTTGCTGCAGGAGGTTTCGGAGCTTCACCCTTCGGAGGAGGGGGCAACAATCTGCTGCTTGCATATCCAGGCATACCGGCAAGTTGGGCCACATTTGGTGGCGGAGGCTTCACCTTTCCTGGGAAAAATGCTGTTGCAGTGGGCGCGCCAGTTGAGGCGGCCGGAGATGTTGAACCAGTCCGTTTTGGTGCCTTGGCCTCAAAGGTCTCGACAAGCTGCTGGACTCCAACTTCTCCCCCACTGCTCGCTGCAGACTTTGCGACCTCCTGCTGGCGACGATACAAATTCACCTTTTTGGCAGTGTCATCGACAGAAATAATGTATTGTGGCGGGACGACGTCGCTTGTAAGAATGCCGTCGGAGGCTGTCCTGAAAAACACAATTCCAGCTTTGACAGCTTCTGCCATTGCAACCCTGATTTCAATGGGTCGCTCAGCACGCAAACCGCTCACATACTCTTTCTCATCGACACGAACATCGCTAAAATAGGAGTGAGCTCTGCCTGATGAATTTCGTTCTCCTCCTCCAGCCACGAAGCCATTCTCAATGATGCCCTTCCAATTGCCTTTTGTAGTCCTGTGATAAACTACGCCAGGGCACATCTGAGGAGTGGTAATCTTTTTACCTTTGGCGTTCATTTTCTGGATCGCTGCTGCTCCAGACAGAGCATAGATTTCCACTGCATTGAACGTGTCCTCAGCTGAAGCGGCATCCATGGCACGTTTCGTATGCCCCTGCACTGCACGGATCCTGATGGGCCAGTAGGCTAACCGGCTAACCCTTTACGGGTTGCCTTCTGGTACCCGGCAATGCACTGGAACTCAAAACGGCACTTGCTGTCCCAGTAGAGCAATGAGATAAGCTCTTCAACTGTCATTCGGGGCAACTTGGCTGGCAGCATTTGGTTGAACATTCGAAAGAAGTCATCAAGGTCAAGCCACATGTTTTCATCAAATCCAGAGGTGTCCTGACCCGGCTGTCCACGCGTCACTGCATTGACCTTAGTCTTGTGTCGGTCCATGCGATCTGGGAACCTCAGCTCCTTTGCCCCATCCATCTCCCAACAGGTTTTGACGATCAATTCGTAGGGATGGGAATCAACGACACAATGTTCAACTACTTCTGCATTAATGTTTTCGTCCAAAGTGATACGATATTTGTCAAGGTGTCCCAATGCATGTTTCGGAATGATGGTACCCTTGATCTCGTTTTCTTGCAGGGGCTCACCAGCTGAGGTGGCCTGAGTTGAATCCTCCTGTGTCGCTGGAGCTTTCGCCTTGGGGTCAGGTGGAGCTTCGTGGCTTGCCTTGGCTTTGCCAACAGATGGGCCCTCGTGCTCATCGGGATCCAGAGCATCCCATGGGTCGCCTTCTTCATCATCATCTTCGGCGACACCAGCATCAGTCGGGCGATCTCTCAACTCCTCTGCTGTAAAGCTTTCTGGGGTCGAGACGCTCGGTGCAGGCTTGTTCACCTTCTCCCGGAGAGAGTTGAGAACCTGCACAAACCTGACTGGGAGGTGCTCCATCTTTGGTGTGACATCACGCATTGTAGCTTCACCTGCAGGGCGCCTGCGCTTGTACAAAGACAGGTTGTACTGAGGGATCAAAATGTCCGTCATGTGCAACATGTGGAGAGTTGCCATGACATATCCGATCATTTCACTTCGGTTGAGCTCGGTCTCGAACGCGTGAAAGTAGTCCCTGAGCTCAAGCCTCGGTGGGAGCATGTCATTCTTGATCCACCGAATCCGATCGTTGTCACTGGCAATCTCCTTGTGGAACCATTCCTTCAGACGATCAATAAACGTCGTGAAGATGAGACTCAATCCATAAGTGAGCGGGTCGGGCTCGCCGATTAGGGCGGCCTGATCCACTCCCAACTCCTTGAGCTGATTGTTCCACCAAACGATGTTGCCTTTGACCCTGTCCATGATGGCATTCCAGTCGCCCCCTGGTTCCCTTTGCCCCCAAATGGGAAGGGGTTCAACACCATATTCCCCACAAAT